AAGGGACGTGGGGAAAAGGCTCCCTGTTGCTGTCCTGCCGCGCGCACCGACGGCACCCACAGGTCCGACCCGGCCTTCGTGGGCGGACTCTGAAGCCGCCATGAGGTGAGAGGCCGGGTTGGGCAGGGGGGGCCTTGGAGTTTGGAGGAATGTCTATCTTTAAAAAGTGCACAGATACACGTCTCATATACGTATGTAACTTATCGTATGCACGTATGCACACCCCTATGCAGGAAAAGCTCCATTTTCACTGGAAACGGAAGTGCATACCCAGGTGCGAAAGTTTTGACGCACAAGCGAGGCAGCTGAGACGGGGTTGCTCGCATCCCATGTTTGTCTTCTTAGAGTAGCGGTTCTCAACCTGTGGGTCGCGACCCCTTTGGTGGTCGAACGACCCTTTCACAGGGGTCGCCTGAGACCATCCTGCATATCAGATATTTACATGAGGATTCATCACAGTAGCAACATGACAGTTATGAAGTAGCAACGAAAATAATTTTAATGGTTGGGGGTCAGAACATGAGGAACTGTATTTAAAGGGCCAGAAGGTTGAGAACCGCTGAGAGGGTCGCAGGCTGCACTGTGACACCTCGGCTCCTATCCTTTGGCGCGAGAACTTGTGGCGAGCTCTGGGGGCAGAGTTTTCATGGGCACCTGACATTTCCCCAAACTTTTTTTTTTTTTAGAGAAAATTATTTTCTTCCTTTTATTAATTTCAGAGAGGAAGGAAGAGGGAGAGAGAGAGAGAGAAACATCAATGATGAGAGAGAATCATGGATCGCCTGCCTCCTGCACGCCCCCTACTGGGGAGCGAGCCTGCAACCCAGGCATGTCCCCTGACAGGGAATCGAACCATGGCCTCCTGGCTCATGGGTGGACAGTCAACCACTGAGCCACCGAGGCCGGGCCCATTGCAAGATTTTGGTAAAATTACCAGTAATTAGAGGCTCATCGTGTTGAGTCTAATTGTCAGAATGATGCTATGGCAGGCATGAAGTAGTGAGTTTTAAAAGGATAACCAGAGAGGCAGGTAAAAGACAGGTATTGTACGCTCATTCTTAGCCTATCACTTCATATGTGTTACACTCCTCCTAAAAGTAATAGGAAGACTCAGGCTAAATTGTTAATATGAGATTTTTTAAAAATATATATATGTTTTTATTGATTTCAGAGAGGAAGGAAGATAGAGATAGAAACCTCAATATTGAGAGAGAATCATGGATCGGCTGCCTCCTGCACGCCCCCAACTGGGGATCGAGCCCACAACCCGGCATGTGCCCTGACGAGGAATCGAACCTGGGACCCTTTAGTCTGCAGGCCGATGCTCTATCCACTGAGCCAAACCGGCTAGGGCTTAATATGAGATTTTAACATGTACAAGCTAGACAATCTTAATGAATAAAGAACTAGAACAAGTCGCTTGCTACACCAACTTTTCACTAAAAATGGTGTGCTTTTTGATGAGCAGAAGTTTTTATTTTTTCACGTGGCCCCACCCCCGTGTTCATGTGACCACTCCTCCCCTTCATGTGGCCCCACCCCCTTGAGACCTTGGATGCTCTCTGTTTGGGGGTGCCACCTCCCTGGTTGGCTGTCGCTCCTGCGCTCACACCTGTCCACAGTCCCTTTGCCAAACTCCTTCCAGAAAATCGTTTGCCTGTGCCATCTGTTTCCTGCTGGGACTGTGACCGCTGGGGTTGAAAAGGAGTCAGGAGAGCAGTGGCCCCTCCAGAGTTCATGCAAGAGGTCCAGAGGGGCCTGTGCTGTCCCTGAAAGGCAAGGGGAGGGGAGGGTGGTGAAGCGGGGGTGCTGATTAGGGGACGGAAAACCCTCGGGGAAAGTGGGGCACCCACACCGTTACCCCACACTCCTGTGAGGAGCCACTGTACAGGTGAGGCTACTGCAGCCCAGAGAGGGCAAATGACTTCCTGGAGGGCACACAGCAGTCAAAGGGCGGAGCTAAAAAGGGAACCCTGGGCTGCCCACAGCCTGTGTCTCCTTTACCTTTGACCTCTGGGTAAGTGGCCCCTCACCCTGTGGCCATTTGCTCTGGTGGGCTTCACCCCCCAACTAGCCCCCGGCAGGCGGGGGCCCTGTCATTGCACCTGTGCCTCTGGGCGGACGAACCTCTGTCATTGATCGGCTGCATCCTGCTCCCACAATGAATTTTTTGTTGTTCTGAGTCACTAGGTTTGTGGTAGTGCATTATGGCAGCTCTAGGAAACACCAGGAGACTGTTGGTTTGATTCCCAGTCAGGGCACACCCCGGGTTTCAGGCTTGATCCCAGGTAGCGGGTGTACAGGAAGCAGCCGATCGATGTTTCCCTTTCACATTGATGTTTCTCTCTCACTCGCACTCCCTTCCCCTCTCTGTAAAAAATCAACTTCAAAAATCTTTAAAAAGAAAAGAGATTTCCTTAACTTTCCCAGTTATGCGCCATGAAAATTCATTTATCCAACATTATCTTTCTTAAAAACATTTTATTAATTTTTCACAGAGAGGAAGGGAGAGGGATAGAGAGTCAGAAACAGCGATGAGAGAGAAACATCGATCAGCTGCCTTGTGCATGCCCCTTACTGGGGATCTAGCCTGCAACTGAGGTACATGCCCTTGACCAGAATTCGAACCCGGGACCCTTCAGTCCGAGGGCCAATGCTCTATCCACTGAGCCAAACCAACTGGGGCTCAACGTGATCCTTTGAGAACCTATGTGTAGACACTAGTTGCAAAGTATTTAGTAATGAGCCAACAAAAGTCCTGCCCCCGTGCAACTTAAATTCTAGTGGTGGCAGAGACAGTATGCATGAAAATTAAGTGGAATGTGTAGTGTGTTAGAGGTGATAAGTGCTCAGAAGAAAGGCAGGGTGTGGAATATGACTGTTTGTGCTGACTTCCTCCCCGCCCCTGTACACTGGCTTCATAATAGTGACATATTCATCATCCATGTGCCTAAATCTTCTATGAACACTTCTTTTTTAAAAAAATATATATTTCTATTGATTTTAGAGAGGAAGGGAGAGGGAGAGAGAGACAGAAACATCAAGGGTGAGTTGATGAGAGAGAATCATCAATCGGCTGCCTCCTTCTCGCCCCTTGCTGGGGATGGAGCCAGCAACCCGGGAATCGAACCGTGACCTCCTGGTTAACCTACTGGGGATGGAGCCAGCAACTCGGGAATCGAACTGTGACCTCCTGGTTCATAGGTCAACACTCAACCACAGAGCCACGCTAGTTGGGCCCATGAACACTTCTTAATTCAGTCCCTGCCAACTTTTAGTAGTCTTGCCTTTGATCTCTTGTCACTGGCTGTCCATCCAATGAAGCTACCTTTTGCAGAATAAGTTTCATTTTTAATAGTGTTTGGTCTCACCTCCAAAATTCTGCA